TGGACGGTTTGGATCCATTCCCTCCTCAGGCGCTATCGGATGGTCAAGATTAAATACGATGAACGATCCAGATTCGTTCCCTCTTTAAATGCGATCAGACGGTCGAGATCAAATCGCGATGAACAGTTTAGATTCATTTTTTTTAAACGCGATTGGACAATCGAGATCAAACACGATGAATAGTCCATATTAACGTGAGATGAGTATAAATATTTCGTATCACACTGAACCCAAACCCTAGCCGCCAGCCTCCTGTTGGAGAAAAAGATCCAGTCGCCGGAGAAGGGAGCCGATCGCCGCTAGCTGCCGCGCCGGAGCCACCTCCGACCGCCAAAAATGATAAAAAAAAATTTTATCCGCTCAGAATTTGATTCCAAGTACCCCCATGGCCAAATAAGAGCGAAAGGAATGGCGAGTAAGCCAAAAATCAAGGGCAAAGCTCGACGGCAGCGCCGCGGGCAAAACCCAAAACCTCATCCAATAAGCCAATTTTCATTTTTTGTTTCATGCGATTTTTCTACCATTGTGTTTACCGTTCTGTTTTCTATAGGTTGACCGAAGAAAAATATTCAGCCACGAAGGTGAGCCGGCGGAGCCACCGCATCAAAAAATTCCACCACTGGTAGGTTTCTATTTTTTGACTTTTTTTGGCGAACCAAGGTCTCCTAATGTGTTTTCTCGCAAGGATGGGTATAAAACCGACTGAAACTGACCGAAAATGGCCAAGCTGAGGCAAATCACTACCGCGGGAGACGAAGCCATCGCTAGAGCACGGCGGTGCCACCGTGCCAGAATTCTAAAATTGACCGAAAAATATTTTTAACACCGATTTTAGATTTTTTGTGGTATTTTTAGGTACGTGAAGCGTGTTTTAATCTCCGCAGGAAAATTCAAGAAACCCAGGGACCGCCAGTAGGCGTAGTAGAAAGTTCGGTATTTCGGACACCGATTCGGGTACGAATTCATCACCTTATTCTCTGTTATGGAATTGAAGCCTAATAATCAATAATATGATATTTTGTGTACTTTAGAAAATTTTGAGAATACTTATAGATTACTAATGGAGGCAGAACCAATTAGTCATTTATTTATCCTGTTTAACTGATTGTTGAACTTAGAGCTTTAAATATATGATAATATACTGGAATGGTTAATTGATTCAATTGTGCTTTTTCAATATATATATTGTCTATCTTACGTGATTTACGGTTGATTTGTGAAATTAAAAATTAATATACAAATGAGAAATTATTTGGCCATGTGAATTAATGAATGATAGTCTTACTGGATATCCTGAGAGATTGTGGGCAGACTAGGGACATAAGGAACCTTACCGTGAACGTTGCCTCATACCGGATGAAGTATCGAGGAATGGTATTTTGGGTGTTCATACCGAAGGGGGTATGGGATGATCCAATTCATCCTCATATCGGACGAAGTAGTGAGGGATGGTATTTTTGGTACTAATACCAAACGGGGTATGGGGACAACCGGTTAGTTGACAATATTGGATATTGGTTCACGCATAGTGGAACATCCTTATGGACCCCCAGGGATACCAGTAGGCAAATAAAAAGGACAAAATGTTGTTTTCGTTCAATTGAATACGATATTATAATGTTATTTGAGTTATTGCCTCTATAAGTCGATTTTGAAAATCTCGCAACGAAAAATATATGCAATAAATGATTTTCCTTATGATAAATGAATTTACTTAAATCAAGAGCTCTATTGATTATTTTTATAATTTTTACCAACTTTTAATTTCTGTATCAATGAGCAGTGTAATATTCTTAATGGGTTAGTGTAGCTCACCCTTTTATTAATTATTTCAGATTAAGAGGATCAAGACTTAGATCCTGATCAACAAGAGGGTTGTAAATAAATTCACCACCTGGACTCCCTTCAAAAGCTAGTGAAGGTCGTCCTAAAATGCTCAGTTATTTGCCTTTTGTTTATTTTTTTAATTTCGTTTGTTTTTTCATAAAGGACATTACCGTAGCCCTATTGGGCATTCTAAATTTTTGTGTAAGGAATGTAAACCCTAAATGTTATTATTTTGCTTTTGCATTTAATTTATGACCTTATTAACTTTTAAATTTCAAGCTTTTACAGTTGGTATCAGAGTTGCGTTCTTCGAAACTATTCATTACACAAAGACCTAAGGCAACACCAAAAAAATGAATTATCACTCAATCACTTCTTGTGAAATGCAGGTACAGATAGATGAAGAGAGGAAACTCTCACTAAACCGAGCAGCACGGGAGGGTTCGCTTCAAGATGATGTTAACTGACTATTTGAAATGCTAGAGAGACTCATTGCTGCCTAGCAATCGCGGAAGGAAAGGAGGGAGTTACCTGATCTTCCCCCGTTGCCACAGTTTGAGCCACCGCTATAACAGGAGGATCCTAAGCCACCCCGGTATGATCCTGCTCCTCTACAGTACCATCCGGCATTACCACAATATAGTCCGGTGCCCCAACTACATCACCCAGCACCATCATAGTATAGTTTGGTGCCCCAACTACATCACCCGGCACCACCACAAGATAATCAGGTGCCTCCACCGTATCAT